GTATAGCATAGTGCTTAGGGCATGGGCATCTGGATTTAAATTGCAAATAACATAGATAGTGCTCAATAATTGTCAGCTATTACTTTACTTAGAAAAAAATCAAACTCCTACTGTGGTCTACAACCTGCATGACCTGTTTCCTATCTCTCAAACCTCACCCTATCCCACTCTCCCCAACTGTTTGCAACCCAACTTGCCTCTGCAGTTTTTGAACATTCCACGTTTATTTGCCTCAGGGTCTTTACACTTGTTTTACTCCCAGTATAGCATTGCTCTCTCAGATCTCTCATAACTGGCTCCTTCTCACCATTCAGGTTTTGGGTTTAATGTACTTTCCAAAGAGGCCTCCCCTAATTAACCTATCCAAAATAAATCTTCCTACCCCACTGTATTAATCCGTTTTGTGTTGCTATAACAGAAATACCTGAGACTGGGTAATTTATAAAGAACAGAGGTTTATTTGGCTTATGATTCTGGGACAGCTGCATCTGGCATGGGCCTCAGGCTGCTTCTACTCATGGAGGAAAGTGGCAGGTAGCCGGTGGGTACAGGAAGATCACATGGTGAGAGGAAGCGAGAGAGAGAGAGAGAGAGAGAGAGAGAGAGAGAGAGAGAGAGAGAGAGAGAGAGAGAGAGGAGGTGCCAGGGTCCTTTAAACACTCAGCTCTTGTGGGAACTAATAGAGCGAGAACTCACTCACTACCCCCACCCCCAGGGAGAGCATTAATCCACTCATGATGGATCCGCCCCCATGACTCAATCAGTTTCCAATACTGCCACATTGGAAATCAAATTTCCACATGAGTTTTGGAGGGGACAACACATCCAAACTCCATCATTCCACCCCTGGCCCCCCAAAACTCATGTCACTCTCACATACAAAATACAATCTTTCTATCCCAACAGTCACAAAAGTCTTAGCTTGTTCCAGCACCAACTTAAAAGTCCAAAGTCCAAAATCTGATCTGAGACCAAAGGCTGAACTCCTTCATGTTGTGAACCTGTAAAAACAAAACCAAATTTATCTACTGCCAAGATACAATGGTGGAACAGACATTGGGTATACATTCCCATTCCAAAAGGGAGGAATAGGCCAGAAGAAAGGAAAAACGGGCCCCCAAACAAGTCCGAAACCCACCACGGCAGACATTAAGTCTCAAAGCTGGTGAATCATGTACCTTGACTCCACGTTTGACTGCCTCTGCACACTGGTGTGGGGGTTGGGTCCCCAAGTCCTTGGGCAGCTCCATTACTATGACTTTCCTGGTCTCAGGCCATACTTCAGCTCTCCCAGGCTGGTGTTCCACTCTGATAGCTCCATAGGTCTGGGGTCTCCATGGCAGTCCTGCTCTCACAGCTCCACTAGGCATGGCGCTGTTGGGGTTTCTGTGCTGCGACTCTGACCCCACATTTCTGCTCAGTATTGCTCTAGAGAAGGCTGTCTGTGAAGGCTGTCTGCGGTGACTCCACCCCTGCAACAGATCTCTTCCTGGGCCCCCAGACTTTTCCATACATACTTTGAAATCTGGGTGGAGGCTTCCAAGCCTTCCCAGCTCTGGCACTCTGTGAGCCTGCAGACCTAACACCACGTGGACACTGCCAAGACTTCCAGCTTGTATTTTCCAAAGCTGCCGGTCCAGCCAGACCTGGGGCCAATTTAGCCTCAGATGGAGCAGCCAAAGCAGCTGGGGTGCTGGTGCTAGAAGCAGCTTCTCGAGGTGGCCCTGGGCAGTGAGCCCATGGAGGGTGCCTTGGGCCTATTCCCCAAGACCATTCTGTCTCCCTAGGCCTTTGGGCCTGAAATGGAAGGGTTGGCCCCAGAGGTTTCTGCAATGCCTTCAGGGCCTTTTTCTCCTCCTCTTGGTAATTCCTTTCCTTCTTAGCTAGCTGGGCTGCACCACTGCATGCTCTCTGCTTTTCTACCACATGGCCATGCTGCAAATTTTCCAAATCTTTACGCTCTGCTCCTGTTTTAAATTCTGGCTTTACATCATGCCTTTTCTGCCATAACTCAGTGTAGGCTGTTAGAAATAACCATGCAGCGTCGCTTAATGCTTTGCTGCGTAGAAATTTCTTCTGCCAAGTGCTCTGGTTCACAACTCTTAAGTTCCAACTTCCACAAAGTCCAAGGGCATGGACACAATGCAGCCAGGTTCCTTGCTATGGTGTAGCAAGGGTGATCTTCTGTCCAGTTCCTGATAAGTTCCTCATTTCTATCTGAAACCTCATCATCTGCACGGTCTTTACTGTCCACGTTTCTATCAGCATTCTGCTCGCCACCACGTCTTTAAGACATTCCAAACTTTCCCTCGTCTTTTTCTCTTCTTCTGAGTCCTCCAAACTCCTCCAACCTTTGCCCATTACCCAGTTCCAAAGCTGCATCCACATTTTCAGGTATCTGTATAGCAACACCCCACTCCTCGGTACCAATTTTCTGTATTAGTCCCTTTTGTGTAGCTATACCAGAAATACCTGAGACTGGATAATTTGTAAAGAAGAGAGGTTTATTTGGCTTATGATTCTGGGACAGCTGCATCTGGCATGGGCATCAGGCTGCTTCTACTCATGGCAGAAAGTGGCAGGCAGCCGGCGGGTACAGGCAGATAACAAGGTGAGAGGAAGCAAGAGAGAGAGAGAGAGAGAGAGGAGGTGCCAGGGTCCTTTAAACAATCAGCTCTCACAGGAACTAATAGAGGAAGATCTCACTCACTATACCTCCTCCCCTGGGGAGAGCATTAATCTTTGCCTCAGGGTCTTTACACTTGTTTTTCTCCCAGTATAGCATTGCTCTCTCAGATCTTTCATAACTGACTCCTTCTCACCATTCAGGTTTTGGATTTAATGTCATTTCCAAAGAGGCTTCTCCTAATTAACCTATCCAAAATAGATCCTCCTACCCCACCCTAATATATGTTTCATTTCTTTTATGGCACTTATCACTACTTACTTGATGATATATCCTCCTCCCCCACCCCACTTAAATATAAATTCCATGACACCAGGAAATCTCTTGTTCATTTTTATTCTAGAGCTTAGTTAATAACTAGTACACTGAAGGCATGTGGTGCTTGTTAAGTGAAAAGAAAAAAAAAAAAAAAAGAATCAAGTTCAAATCCCAACTAAATATAAAAACCTAGCCACAATCCTCAGAGAAAACAGAATTTCAAATGCTAAAAGGGTTCTGGGTTGATTGGTGGGTATCTGTCATATTCTTAACAGCACATTTTTTGAAAAACCTTTCACTATGTTGGGAAATCTCACATCATGAGTTCTGCCTCCCTATTGCAGAAATCAGAACTCAAATTTTCAGCCCCTGTTGCAGCTAGGATGTAGGCACATGACTAGGCTCTGCCTACCAGACACCCTCATAAGACTGATTCAGAAAAGAACAATGTAAAGCGACTCTGCTTCTTGCCACATGGGGTCTGGCTCAAGTGTTGGGCTTTTCGGAAGAGCAGAGGACCAAGTCAAGTGAGATTGGTGAGGCTGTGGTGGCAGTTTCCTCTAGTCCTTGATGGGGCAACACAGCATAGGCAGTGCTCTTATGAGGCCAGATCTATGCACTATTTGGGGCATAAATCCTGCAGGTATTGCCTTCAATCTGTCCCCAAAATTCTCAAAAGCACTTCCTATCATTTTAGTAAATCCTTTTCCCACTTACACTCAGCTTCTGTGCCTGGCCCCAGTGACAACCAGGTTGGCAGGAACTACCATACTGCCTAACTTTAGGACATCAGTCTTCATGAAAAAGTTCCTATGGCTATATACTTGTTTCCTGATAGGAATCAGAATCAGCTTTCCCTGCAGTAACTGGGTGAAAGATACAGGCCAGCCATCATTGTTTTCTACTCCACCCCTCAGTCATTTATTTCCATAACTCCTTGGGAGAAGCACTCTTAAGAGACCTGCTTCACAGAAAAGGGCACTCCATACTTTTATCTGTTGAAAGAATGAGTTACAATGTTTCACAGTTAAAAAGTGATGACTATACTAATTTTGAATCTGATTGTTAAACAATACCACCTTTTTTATAATAAAAGAAGATTCTATACCAGAGGTTGCCTACTGGTGAGTAAATCTGGCCTTCAGAGGGTTTTGTCTAGCCCACAATGGTTTTAAACTTTTAATTTGTCACTAGAGATACAAAGACTTCAGTTACATCTGTGATTCCTGCTTCTCTTAAAAAATAAAAATCTGATATTATGGGCCTGAAAAGCAGAGGCCTCCTTCTGAGAGGCCATGTGTTCTTCAACTGGTGCTCACAGACCAAACTCGTACTTTTAATTTTGTTGTATATATTAGAAACTGGGCAGATTACCAGCCATTTCATGAAAATATTGTTTAGTAAGGAAACATTAAAAAAACCCACATTTTACATAGCTATAAAATGCTGGAATAAAATAGATTAAATCAAAATAGAAAACGCAAATTAAAGGGGGAATGGTGAAAGGTTGGGGCTTAGACTTGAAGATTTCAAGGTAAGCCGAACCATAGTAATACAATTTAGAAAATGTTATATGTGTACAACATAAGGTGGACCCTGAAGCTAACTCTGAGAAAATATTAGCAATTTATAAGGGAAACAGACTACAAAGGTGGTTTCCTTTATTTTGCTACACTTTAAAGATCTCACTTTGATATTAAATCAAAATGCTTAATGACCACTTCCCAGATAATTAAAAAAATTCACATATTACTCATTTTGTAGAATAATATTCTATTATTTGATGTAGAAATAAGACCAAAAGAATGTCTTACTAAGCAATAAACTGACCCCCCCCCCCCATATTATCTGTGATCAGCTCGGTAAGACTAAATTTACTACATTTTAATTCCAGGTATAAAATGGACGATTTAGAGAGCTTTTGGATTGGGGAAGGTGAGAAAAAAGCAGGTCAGATAAACGATCTTCAGTTTAAAATACAAAATCCTATCATGTTACATCTCATGTTCGAGACACCCTCCAAGTGCTGAAAACACAAGAGACAGTATTAACAATCTGTTTTGTTCTCAGAAATAGTTTTATCAATCAATCTATTAATAAGTCACCCATTACAATAAAAAAGATCCGTATAAAGAAGAGTTTACATATTCAGATATTGTAGAATCACAGGTTCTTCTTTATATTACTGAAATGCATGCAAATAAACATATCTTTGAGATATTAGGGCAACCCACACCTTTCTCGTCAGATTATACCAGCATCTCAGTACTGAGGAAATGTTTCATCGATTTTAGCAGCCCAGGCCATAAGGCCCCCCACAACATCCCGAACTGTGAAAGAGTCTAACACTTGGGCTGCTGTTAAGGACTGTAGGATCTTCACAGCTTTCTGGGAGTCATTTCCCAGTTTGCAAATAACATAAATGGAGAATGCGGCCCCTTCCTGTGTGTCCTGTTTCTCTTCCTGGATTGCGTCTCCTAAGAGTTTCAGGCTCTCCTCATCCCTCTGTTCCAAATGTTTCAAAGGGATATGTAGAGAATGAGGCAAACGACAGATGTCCACCTCCACTTGAGGCCTGACGTCCAGCAACAGGTGGGGTGCCCTAGAATCCAGAAGTCGCTTATAGTCGGTAACAGAAATCCGCTCCTCTGGACTCAGTAGCTGCAAGGAGCGGCACTTATCAGTAGCTGAGGAGCCACAGAAGGCTTCATAGTCCTGCATGTCAGTCACAGTGGGCCGTTCCCCGCAAGCTGCACAGTCGGACCTTCGGCTCCGCAGCTGAATACAGCGGAAATGCCCTTTGAGGGCATCAAAAAGCAACAGGCTGCCACTGTAAGAGGGGCCCAGACCTGCAGCGATCTTCAGCACCTCCAGCGCCTGCAGGCAGCCTAGGACCCCAGTTACGACACCGAGCACTCCGCCATCAGCGCAGTTGGTCACCGTCTCCGCTGGGGGTGGTTGGGGGAATACACAGCGATAACAAGGCCCGCCGTCATAGTGGTAGACTGTGAGTTGGCCTTCGAAGCGCAGAGCGCTGGCCGACACGAGAGGCCGACCAGCCAGCACACATGCGTCATTAACCAGGTAGCGAGTAGGCACGTTGTCAGAACAGTCGGCCACCACGTCATAACGGCGGACCAGGTCCAGAGCAGTGTCTGGCGTAAGGGCCTGAGCGTAGGGTACGCACTCCACCGCCGAATTGAGACGACGCAGGGAGGCAGCGGCCGAAAAGGCCTTGGCCTGGCCAGCCAGTGCCTCGCCATGCAGCACTTGGCGAGCCAGGTTGCTCATCTCTACCACGTCGTAGTCCACAAGGCCAAGGCGGCCCACGCCGGCCGCTGCCAGGTATTGTGCCAGTGGGCATCCCAGCCCACCGCAGCCCACGACTAGAACGGACGCGGTCGCCAGGCGCAGCTGTCCATGCACGCCCAGCTCAGGCAGTACTAACTGCCTGCTATAGCGCAGAATCTCGTCTCGGGAAAGAGCGGCCTTCGGTGGCAGCGGTGACACAGAAACCATACGTTCTGGCTCTGGTTCCTGCTCCCTCAAAAGAGCCGTCGCCAGCCTCTGCTTCAGAGAACTCAGCTCCTCCTCGCGCTGGGCAACTTCAGCCTGTAGGGCGAGAACCTCCAACCTGGCAGCCATGACGACCTCTTCCGGAAGTTGTAGTGAAAGGCATTTCCGTTTCCGGCTTGCTGTCTCCTAGCGACTGGAATAAACTAAAACCTTATGAAGCTTAGGAAAGGTGATGAATAGATAAATATCTCCCTAAGAAACATCCAGATTCAACTTTAAAGATTCATAAGTCTTTATTTTTCAGTTCAACCACACAGAGGCCCTATAAGAACCAGAAGACAGACCATCCCCCTTTTCTCGGATTTGGCACGATCTGACCCGCCCCTCTCGCGTCGCGTTTACGTAATTCCGCTTCCGGCGTCTCGCGCAGTTACGCCATGGCCTCCGTGGAAGTGAGTTGTACTCCTCCTAGGTCTCGGCGGGAGCCGGAGGGGCGCGCCCAGAGACAGGACAAGTATTCGGTGCTTTTACCCACTTACAACGAACGCGAAAACCTACCGCTCATCGTGTGGCTGTTGGTGAAAAGCTTCTCCGAGAGGTATCGCACCCGGCCGCCCTCCCTTAGCGAGATGAGCTGGCTTCCCCCGCCTGGGTGTCGACAGTTGGCTGCGCGAGGAGCCTTGCCCAGCCTTACTTAGGCTCGCGCAGGATCCCCTGGGGAGGAGGCCACCCTGCGAGGAAAGCAGAGGCAGATACCTCTCGTTCTTTCTCCGTGTCCTGGGTTATCTTTTCTGTCCTTAGGTTTTGTGAGACGCTTATTTATCTTCATTATAAAACCACCCCCTTTCCCCGCCCCCCGCCTCGCTTTTTTCTTAGAAGGGCTGGCCACCCTTTTACTTGGGAGCGAGGCTGAAAGCCTGACCTTACTCCTCCCTCTAGGTAATCAGTATCTGCTGCAAGAGCCGGGAGACTAAGCGAGCGCGCTCACTCCCCGCGTCGGTGCCGGTGCTTATGTAAGCGTGAGGTTTGGTCTGTGTGGGTTAGGGAGCTACCGCTGAACAGAATAACCTTTCTAGAGGGAGAGAGCGGAAGGGCATCTTCGCTGATCACTTATGGATGTTTGGTGTGGTTGTTAGAAACTTGGGGGGTGGGAAGAAGGAAGGGTTGGAGCTTGAATTTGGAAGTGTTAACGCAATTTTTTAAAAACGTAGGAAAACCCTATCAATACTAAGTAACTTGTTTTGCGGTTACACAGATGGGATCATGCTGTGAAAATCTTTGAAATTCTCTTGAAAATTGAGTAATGTTCCATATAGCTGTGTTACCATTGGTTTAACCGGGTCGTGTCGTTGAACAGAGAATTTCCAGAGTTTTTTGTTTTTTGCTTTTTGTTTTTTGCTTTACAAATGAAAACGGGGACTTTGTTTACACAATTTTTTTTGTCATTTAGAAAAGTGCTTGACATATCGTGAGTGCTCCTTTATTATATGAATGTTGCAGCAAACACACTGATACTTTTGTTAGGGTGCCAGGGATAAAGTCTTAGAGGTGGAATTGTTAGGTCAACAGAGTTGTGCTCAAAATTGACAGTTATTGCCAAATTTCTCTTAAAAAAAAAAAAAAAAAAAAAAAGTATCAGCTTAGGATTCTCCAGGCTTCAGAGTGCCTTCTTCCCCACCAACCAGCCAGCCTGAGCACTATTAAACTTACGTTGTTGGAAATACTAATTGGTGAAAACCATTGCTGTTTTGATTGTATCTCTTTGAATAACTATATTCACATATACGGACCTCAGTTTTCAAATTTTTTTTTTTACCCGTTTAGTTGTTTATCTTTTTATTTCGATTTCTGCAAGCTCTTTTCCTCTCTCTCTCTCTCTCTCTCTCTCTCTCTCTCTCTCTCTCTCCCCCTCTCTCCCTCCCTCCCTCCCTCCCTCCCTCCCTCTTTCCTTTCTTTCCTTTCCTTTCCTTTCCCTTTCCCTTTCCCTTTCCTTTCCCTTTCCTTTCCCTTTCCTTTCGCTTTCCTTCCCATTCCCGGTCCCTGTAAGGGGATTTTAACTCTTGACTTGGTGTTGTCAGCACCAGGCTCTCCCAAGTGAGCTAACTGGCCATCCCTATATAGGGATCCGAACCCGTGGCCTTGGTGTTATCAGCACCACACTCTCCCGAGTGAGCCACGGGCCAGCCCTGCAAGCTCTTTTCTAATTAGAGAAATTGACCATCATGTAGGGGTCTTGTTCTGTGTTTGTATTCTGATTTTATGATTTTTTTGCTCTATAGTTTAATTTTTTATGTAGTGCAATTTAATTTTTAATGATTTCGGGGTGGTTTGTTTTTTAATCAGAATGAAGTTTAATAAAGGGAACAACTATTTTCTTTTCAGACGCAGTCTAATTATCTGAAGTCAGCTCAGCTTGATTGCTTTAAAGTGGTGTGGCTGCTTTGAAGTGAGAGTAATTTTGCTTATGAATGATTCTGTTTTGCTTATGAAATATACCTTTTTCTGCACATCTAGTAGAACCATCATCTCACATGTTTCGGCATGTAAAACACTGTGACCAAATTTAAGGCACAGTGGAAGGCTGAAGTCATTGTATCTACTCTTGGAGGATAGATAGGCCGAGTTTAGCTTTCTTGTCTTCAGAGTTTGCTGGGGCTGACTTTATTAAGCCTTTAACCCAGGATGTGTTTTCTGGTTGATTTCCTTGCATATGTTTCTTAAAGAGGACCAAGAAGAAACAGAATGTTATATTGTGGGTGTTTGGCTGTGCCTCTTGTTCTTTCTCCTTAACTTTCCTGATAAAGTGAACAAAAAGAATGTCTGTTAAAAAGGGGGATGGGGGAAGACAAGATGGTGATCACATGTACATCCATATAGTATTTATCTACCAAGTATTGTGTGTGTTTGTTTTTAGAATAGAGACTATCACATGAAGTTAATGGAAAGTAACCGAGAGATGTTAATTCTGAAGCACAGTGAAATCTTTTGTAATTTTACTGTGTGTTTTGTTTTGGTTTTTAATTTTATAGTGTGGCATAATGGGTACAACTATCTGAAATAATGGTTTAAAAGACTTTTTTTTTTTTTTTTTTTTTTTTTTTTGGTGGCTGGCCAGTAGGGGGATCTGAACTCCTGACCTTGGTGTTATAAGGCTGTGCTCTCACCAGCTGAGCTAGCCTGCCAGCCCCCTGTGTCACTATTCTAAAGTGGGTTTTTTTAAGGGTGAAATTAAATCAGATTTATTCTTGATTGTTACTTAAATTTATTGGAATTAAATTAAAAGGAAGATTTGGTTAGTTACTCAATTTGTGTTTCCACTTAAAGTACTTTTGAAATATTTTATGTAAGATTTGATATTAAGGTCCCACAATTCCATATCCAAAGTTGTAAATAACATTTTATCTGATATTGTGTATATATCACTGCATGATTTTCTTTTTAACTAAAAAATATGTTTTCTGTGTAAGAATTCTTAATATCTCAGGACTTTACAATAGCATGTTTCAGCAATATACTGGGTTTGGAGTTAAAGTACTAAATGTTTGACATTTATTTTGTTTGATAATTAAAGTTTTCCTTAGTGACTAATATGGCAATAAATCTTCACTTAAACTGTTGAGGGATTAGTAATTTTAAAATTATTTTTAAGTTTGAGAACACTGTCTCCAAACATTAATTAAAAAAATTTTTTTAGTGGAATCAACTATGAAATTATAATCATAGATGATGGAAGCCCAGATGGAACAAGGGATGTTGCTGAACAGTTGGAGAAGATCTATGGGTCGGACAAAATTGTAAGTTACATGAACATTTTTCTGTCATGGCAGTTTTGTTAATGTAGACGAAAGATGAGAAATGAAAAATGCTCAAATTCAGCCTATTTGTCTAGAAACTAAAAAGATAAAGATCAATTTTTGTACTTGGAATTTAAATGCATTTACATTGTGCTTAAAATTTTACGTATCTTTGATATGCTGAGTCGGTGGTAATTTTACAGCAAAAGAATGAGCCTTTGGATGAACTCTCTTTTTATGACTGACTGCAGATAAGTCTTTTTGAAGGGCAAAATGAAAGCATGGTACTGAATTCACAAGGAATATTATAGACCTGGGTTGCAATTAGTTTGTGGGTCTTAATCTTTCTTGCTACCTTTCTCTGAGTATTCTCAGACTTTCATTAGAAAATACTGCCTGCAACTAAGAGCTTGTTAAGTGGGAAAGGTGGCTGTTTTCATGTGAAACATGAATGGATTTTCACAGCACTTGGCATTTTTATTTCAATCCATACAACAGTCTTGTGGGAGTAGATTGACATTCTGAGTCCTAACCTTCAGATTTTTCCACTGTACCTTGAAACCTGTTGTTCTTGTATAGGAGTAATGAATATTTTTGTATTCTTGTATAAGCAATTGTAGAGTTTATTTTATTATGGCTTCATGAATTTTATTTTTGATCACTGGTTTGGATTTACAAATGTCTGAGTATGTTAGAAAACACATTCTAATCATTAGGTATTTATTTGAAATTTATATTTGTAAATTATTGTATAGCAGAGTTTCTCAATCTCGACACAATTCACTTTTGGGACTGGATAATTCGGCTAATTCTCTGTTGTGGGGGGACTGTCATGTACGTTGTAGGAGGTCTAGCAGCATCCCTGGCCTCTATCCACCAGATACCAGTAGCAATACTCCCTCTTCCCCACCAAGTTGGCAACCAAACATGTATCTGGATGTCATCAATTGTCCGTGTGGGGGCAAAATTCTTCCTTTTCCCCAATAGAGAACCACTGGTGTAGAGAAATAAAGTTTTTTGAAGAACCTTTATTGATATTTGCATTTCAAGAAATGATAATTAATTGTCATAAAAAATAGTCACCGGTTCCAAATATTCTTGATTAATCCCAATAATAGAAATAATTTTTACAACTAATGTTTACTTATAGGTGAACATCAGTTATAGGAGATCTTGGTGGGAAGAGTTTAAGGGAGATGTGTTACTCCTATATACATGGTAAATCTGTCCTATACTAAAAATTCTTTCAGTCTGTCTCACAGATGAGTATCTCACAGGGCTGTCACACCTCAGGTCTTCTCTGAAAAATGTAATGTGTGGGAATACAGGAGGAGGTAAAAAGTTGACAGATTTTCAGC